AAGCCAAAATTAAGTCATTGTTTTATATTCTTAGATTTCGCCAGAATACAAAGGAGTGTCATGATAGCTAAAAACACATTCAGATTTCCTTGAAAGGATAACATTGAATATTAGAGAAGGATTCTTTATGAAACCATTTTAGGAGCTAGATAAGAATTGGAGGGGGGCGGTGAGGTGTATATATGGAGAGAAGAGGGATCAGATGCCTGTGATACTGCAATGTCAAAAAGATGAACAGATAGTTTAGTAGCAGACATCTAGATTCTGAAAGTGAGCAATATATTAAAATTGTTGTAGAGGGAAGAGAACTTCTGGGTTTAATGATCTACCAGCTGGGCTCTGTGAGATCTTTGAGCAAATCCTTGGCACCTCTGTTCAAAGGCATATGGAAGGTGAGATAACTTGCACAATGAAACTAGTGTTAATAGGAAGTGAGAGAAATTGGGAACTGGTACTTGCCGATAATACTAAACACTAAATATAAGATTATTGTGAGACTCCTGTGGGAAAGATTGACAGGAATAATAGAGAACATGAGATGCCAAGGGAATGCCATAAGGGGGGGTTTGAGAAGCTAACTGAAAAATTCTTACATGGCAAAGGAATGGGGTGGAAAATAAATTCATTATGCTGGGTTAAGAAAAGGCTTTTATTTAGACAAGCTATGATTTTCTCTGTAATACCATGTAAAATATATTGTTCCAGAGCAGCTTTTGAAATGTGAGGACTTTATATATGAGCCATTGGGATTAGCATCTCCATTCTCAATAAAGAAGATTGAAGAGAAAATTAAAGTGATAAGAGTAAAGCAGTACTGCTCATATAATCCTGTACTATTTTTGTGGTCTGTAGATTGAATTTCCCTTCCTCCATTAAAAAATTTCCTAAGACTATAAGGATACAGAAGAGACAGTTCATGGAAGCTGAGGCCACTAACAGCCTAGCATTCAAGAACAGCATCTCTAGCAATTTAAAAAGCAAGTTTAAAATAGAGTGTAGAGAAGTTGGAATAACATCATAAAAATGGATAAAAAACAAAGTAATGCTAACTTGTTGAAAACAAGAAAAAAGATGGTTATGTTCTTTGGAAGGGCAAAAAATGCAAAAAAAAAAATTGGATCATGAAAATAAAGGAGTGGGAAAGAATGTAACGTAGGCTAATTACAAATGATTGGAGAGCAGTTCTTAGTGGTCAACTGATCACATAGCAATTGGTGTCAGTTTCTCCTGCTGCCTTTGCAGCTTTCCATCAGTGATCTCATTCCCTTGGCTTTAATTGTCATTCATATGCTAATGAATCTCAATTCATCGGTGCCCAAGCTCCAGACCTCTTCCAGATCTCTTCTTGGGTGTGTAACAAGTGCCTCATATTCAACAGATTCGAATCTGAAAAAATCATCCCCCCACTTCTCCATCCCACCCCAAGTCTATTTTTCCTGCTTCCCTATTGGGGAGTAGTACTGCAACCTTACTCATCTAGTTTCCTACTTTAGAAATCTAACCATCATCTTTGATGTTTCTTCTTTTACCCCTGTATCTACTCAGTCAGCAAGATTATTCATTCTTCCTCTTTCATATTTCCCAAATATATTTATTTCCCTGTTCTCATTCTATTAGTTTAGATCAGAGGTTGGCATATTGTAAATATGTTAGGCTTTGCAGACCATATGGTCTTTGTCACAATCACTGTAGCTCCATAACAGGCAGAGACGACATGTAAATGATGGGTGTGGCCGTTTCCCATAAAACTTTATTTATAGACACTGAAATTTGCATTTTATTTAATTCACAAAATATTACTCTTCTTTTGATTTCCCAACCATTTAAAAATGTATAAACCATCCTTAGTTTGTCATCCCTACCAAAACAGGAAGCAGGCCATATTTGGCTCACAGGCCCATAGTGTGCCCACCCCTGGCTTAGACCATTTTCTCACCTGAAATGCAACAGTAGTCTCCTGTTGTCCTACCTGGTCTCCCTCTCTCTCGTCTTGTTCCTCTGGTCCACTCATCACACTGAAGCCAGGTTGCCAATTGGATCTCTTAACCTTGCTTGAAGTCCTTCAAAGGTTGACCATAGCCGTTGGAATGTATCCACATTTTTTGGCAAGACCCTTCATAATGTGGACCTTGCTTACCTTTCTATCCATATTTCTTGCCACTTCTTTCTCTCTGTTCCAGCTGCTTGGAACTGCTTGAAGTTTTTGAAATGTGTAGTATTTTTCACTTCTAAGTTTTGACACATGCCTTGAATATCTTTCCTCCTTACCCTCTGCCTACTTCCACCTGGCAAAACACTACTTTTCCTACTGGACATATTTTAGCTATCATCTCCAGAAGCCACCCCTCACTCCCCTAAGGCATTTCATCCTCTTAAGGATTTAAGTGCTTCTACTAAGTTCTCCTGTCATACCTGTGGGACCTAATAATAGCATTTATTTTACTGTATTATAATTGACTAGTTACTTGACTGCCTCTCCTAAATAATAAACTCCTTGAGTGCCTGGAGTTTGTCCATTATTCTATCCCCAGTTTCATATCCGGTCCCTGTAATACCCTTGGCATTTTCATTTCTATTTTTTTGCATTAAAAATTCGAGATATTATTCATATTATCATAAAACTTAACCTTTTAAGGTGTACAGTTCAGTTTTTTTTTTTCAGTTCAGTTTGGTTTTTAGTATATTCACAGTACTATGCAGCCATCACCACTAATTCCAGAACATTTTCATCACCACAAGAAGAAACCCTGTGTCCTTTTGTGACTGGCTTTTTTTACTTAGCATATATAATGTTTTCAAGGCTCATCCATACTGTAGCATGTACCAGTACTTCATTCCTTTTTATGACTGAATATCTACATCATATTTTAAACTTCATTCTTCAAAGCCACCAGGATTCTAGGGGAAAAGGAAGCGGGACCCCTAGATTCCCACTCCTGCTTCAACTAGAACAGGTATGCTTTCATTAGTTATTTGTTATGGATAAACTTTCATATGAAATTTGAAAGTCACTGGCTCTCTGTTTGAAGAGTAGATTCTTCTTAGGGCTGAAGGGCACTCCATGGACTTTTTCTCAAACCTTCTTTCCCATTGTTTTTTGCCCTGTATTATGTGCTATAACCAAACAGTATTTTGATCAGGTCTTCATATGTGCTTCATGTCTTTCTTGCCTCTCTAACTTTTCTTACGCCGTACCCTCTATCTAAAATGTCCTTTTCTACAGATTTACAATTTTACTTAGCCTTCAATGCCTAATTCAGATAAAATCCCTTCCATAAAGTTTTCCCTGATCACATCAGCTAAGAATCATCTCTGAATTCCTACAGTAATTATACTGCTTTAGGTGCTGCTTTGCCTACTGATTCCTTGAGGCTGCTCTCATGTTTTCCAATTGTTTTCTATTCTCCCATCCAGTACCTGTGTGGTAATTTTTTTTAAATGTAAATGAAAGTGGCGTGGCCACTTTTGAAAAGGAACAGCCTCACTCTAGGGCATTTATCTCAGAGAAATGAAAATTAACGTTCATGTAAAAATCTGAACATAATTTTTCATAGCCCCTGTATTTGTAATAGCTAAAAAGTAGAAACCACAAAAATGTTACACAATAGTTGAATGCTTTAAACAAATGGTAGTACATTCATATCATGGAATACTACTCAGCAATAAAAAGGAATGGACTATTGATATATGCAACAACTATGTGTTATGCTAAGTAAAAACATCTTAAAAGGTCACATGTTATATGATTCCGTTTATATAACATGCTTGAATGACAAAGTTGCAGAGATGGAGGACAAATTAATAGTTACAAGGAATTAGAAATGGTGTGAGGAAGGAAGATAGATTTGACTATAAAATAGGACAGTATGAGGGACATCTTTGTGATGATAGATAATTCTGTATCTTGGTTTTGGTGGTGGTTATATGAATCTATACATATGACAAAATGACATAGAATTATACTTACATGTTGTACCAGTGTCAGATTCCTGGTTTAGATGTTATTACATAGTTATATAGGGTATACCCACTGGGGGAATTGTGTGAAGGGTACATGGGACTTCTGTGCTATCTTTTCAATTTTTTACGAATCTATAATTATTTCAAACTAAGAATTTTAAAACTTTCTCTTCAGAGATTGAGGAGGTATTTATCATGATCAGTTTGGTACTCATGGTGCTGCTTCTGTTCAATATGATCTGTCTATACTTTCAAAGTAAAGTTACTCTTGAAGTTGACAAGAGAACCTGTTTGTAGCGATATTTTAGTTGGATTTAACAATTGGGTGAAACCTCTTGAAGCAAGAACTGGTACAGTAGTTCTTTGTGGATGAATCCTAGCTTTCCAAGGCCTTATTTTAATTTTTAAATTAAGTGCTAAGCCTGGGGTGCCTGGCTGCTCAGTCAGTGGAGTTTGCAACTCTTGATCTCAGGGTTGTGAGTTGGAGCCCCATGTTGGGTGTAGAGCTTATTTAAAAAAAAAAAAAGATTTAAATTAAGTGCTAAGCCTTAATTTGAGTCATATTTTGGTATACTTCTAAGTTATTATTGTTCTTGTATACTGGCTCTTGAAGGGCAGTGACCACAACAACAGGTCCTGTGTAGTATCTGTCATCCTGTGGGAGCTTAATAAGCATCAGTTACTTTTGATTTGCCATTAACTGATTCAAACAATTAATTCTTTTCTTAATATAGAGTTAGTAAGAGGTCTCTTCTGGTAAGATTTTGAAAAAAGATCTCATTAAGCAATATTTAACTCAAACTTTTAAATGTTTGGAAGTTATTAGATTATATATTAAGTAAAATGAATATTCTTTTGCAAATTTAAAGTAGTATTACAAAATCAGAATTTATCTCTAATTCTTTTTGGAAAGGGGCAGGTTTGTATAAGTTAAGGATTTTTCTTTTGCATTTATGATCAAGCTCAAAGTAAATATGAGCAAAAGGAAATATGAGTAAACTGCAAATTCTGTAGTAAAATGAAACTTAATTTTTTTTCAGGTTAAACTGCAGAGCAACATATCATATCAGATGGCAGATATACATCATTTAAAGGGTAAGAAACTTAATTACAGATTAAAGATAAATAAAGGTAACTAAATGTCTAAAATCCTCAAGAATCAAATAATTAGCTAAATGAAATAAAAATTTTTGAACAAAGCTCCTCTGATGGCAAGACGTTTGTCCTTTTAAGATAGAATACAAAATTGTAATGTTGCTTTATATACATATATAGTAAATGCAAGTTAAAATTTGCATTTAAATCTTGTGTGGTAGACTGATTTCATGCAATGAAATGTTATAAGACGCATCAAAGAAAATTGAGCTGTAGCTTCAGAAGCTATCAAATTTCTAGGGAAAAGGTAAGGGATAATCCCTCTGTACTGTGTCCATTGCTAAAATAATCCATTCAGGTCTAGGGAAGCTTTGGACAGGTCCTCCATGCTTAATGTTTTAGATACACTGGGAATAGAAACTTAGAACAGAAAGAAAACTTGAAGCCAGAAAGAAACCTGGAGATATATGTTTCCCCCTCCTTAGATGAAGTAATAGATGACTAAAGCTTTTATAAAAAATAATAATAGTTAAGGAGAGTAAACTCTATACTTTCCTTACATTACTTCACACTATCACCAGCCTTTGGAATTTGGGGTCTGAAGAGCACCCCCCTTCTCCCTCCCACCCTTTAATTACAACACTATTATTTTAAAACTTTGCAACAGTGACTCTAAGTTTTTGTATGTGGGTAATAAATGCTTTGTAATTTCATAAGTATATCTTTATTCTATAACCATTTTAACCCTCTTTAGGTAGAATTAGATGATACATATTTATTATCCTCTTGAAGAAGCCAACCTGAGCTAGCTTTGTAATTTATTGAAGTTTTGCTCTTCACCTAGCAAAACCACTATTTTTGTGTGTGTGTGTGTTGTAACTCGAAAATAGAAATTATTAATTTTTTACTGTCTATGATTTAGAACAGCTTTGACTTTCTCTTAGAAATTTACTTCCTGGTGGCCACATCTGTTTTTGTTGCATTTGTGTCCATATTCTACTCTTTGTGACTCATAGGAGTACATTAGGATGACACAGAAGATGTCACTCTGTCAGTGCTGCTTCCTACTTGCTATTTTTACAAATGATTCACCTTGTCATCAAAGTATATTTCTATTAAGTAATCATAGATCAGTTGAATAAGAAGTCCAGTGGCTTCTGCTGGTCTATGCCAAAGAAAATGACAGCCTATGTTACTGAGTAAAAATCTTTATTGTATTGTGTGCATTGAAGTAGATCTTGAGATATTTGGAAATTTTTTATGATAATCTTCGGTAAAAAAGGCTTTGATTTGAACTCATAACTGTACAACTTTTGGTTTAGTGCACTTACTGAAGCTTGGACTCTTAAGATTGAATATCCTTTTAAATGGACTTTTGCACTTTAGGAACTATTTCTACTGAAACAAACTTCAAATCAACTATAAAATCCAAATTGGCCTATTTTCATTGAAATTAATACTGGATATAATGGAATTCATACACACTAAGACTCTTTTAAAAAACATTGTGGTAGTTAATATTTTTTTGGAAATGAAAGGAATAAGAGTTGGTTTTTAATCCCTGAGATAACAAAATAACATTCTAGTATACACCAGTTTATTTTGAATAGCTCACCTTATTTTTATGCGTATTACTGAAAGGAAATTTGAAATAAAAATTTTCTAGAAGTAAATTTTTTTTTTTTTTTTGCTTTAAATGTTGGTCCTAGGCAACCCATTTTTTAACTACATCCCTAATCGTTTGAAGTTAAATTGAAGGAGCATGGCCATGCCTTTCTGTAATATACCCTGGTGTTACTGCCAGAAGTAGAACATTCTGCACAATCAGCTGTGGCCCTGATCTCATGTTAAGTTACTCTGAGAATCTTGCTGTGGTGACCTGGAGTAGCCACAGTAGACACACAGTATCTTTGGGTTCAAAATAAAACAGGGGTGCCTGGCTAGCTCAGTTGGGTAGAGCATGCAACTTTCGATCTTGGGGTCGTGAGTTTGAGCCCCATGTTGGGTGTGGAGCCTATTTTAAAAGTAAAATACACTACAAGAAAGAAGGTAGAATAAAGACATTTAAAAAAAATAAAAAAGAAAGAAAGAAAACACATTAGTTGAAGGTAAAATTGAGATATAGGAAAATTTTGTCTTTAGTTTTGCTCTCTGATCTATTTACTTTTCCCCTTCTCAGGTCTTTGTGTTGACTCACTCAAAGCACCAATGAGCTCCCTGCTTTATAATCCTTTCCCTATATTCAAACAGGAAAGAATCTGATATTTTACATGGACTGGAACTCACTCATACTGATGTTTTATTTTTCCTTGTCAATTGCATTTTAAACCTTTTATCTCCATTTAGAAATAAAACTACTTTTTTTTTTTTTAAGATTTTATTTACTTATTTGACAGAGAGAGATACAGAGAGAGAGAGGAAATGCAAGCAGGGGGAGTGGGAGAGGGAGAAGCAGGCTTCCCGCAGAGCAGGGAGCCCGATGGGGGCTCTCTCCCAGGACCCTGGGATCGTGACCTGAGCTGAAGGTAGAAGCTTAACGACTGAGCCACCCAGACGCCCCTAAAACTACTTCTTGATAAAGGAATTTCAAATGTTGTTAGTGAAAACCTTTGTGGGAAGGAGGAGAAGCCATCCCAAATCTTGAAATCATACTAAGCCTCAGGTTCATTCTGAAGATAGACTTAGCTACTTCAGTTATTTTATGATGTGGGAAAAAGAAGCCTAGAGACCACCAGTTGAGGTACATTCTCTAGTAGCTGCTTGCTGGTGCTTATTTTTTTTTAATTGCAGTAACTTTTCAGTTCTAGAACCTTTCCTGCCTGAATACAGGTTCACTGAACTGGCTAAATATCTGTAGGCTACAAGGCTTTTTGACACTGCCTCTTGCTGAGATCTCATTGTCTCTGTAGAATCAACAGCCATAGCTGAGGCCAGAGTTTCTGCTACCTCTAGTCCTTTTTATCTTAGGAGATGGGGCCAGGGATCAAGTAATGTGTTATTCAGGGATACTTGGTGTCAGATTTGCTATTTTTGTCTGAGGTAGATGTCATAGATGAAAAACTGTGGAGATCAACCATGTTTACATATTGGAGAATTAATAGAGTAAGAAGAAATTTAAGATGTGGCTTGACTAAACTTACAAAAACAGAATGGAATGGTGGTTACCAGGGGTTGGGAGTAGAGTGGGGAGAACGAGGAGATATTGGTCAAAGTGTACAAACTCTCAGTTATAAAATGAATAAGTTTTGGGGATCTAATAAACAACACAGTGATTATAGTTAACAATACTCTATTAGGTACTTGAAAATTGCTAAGAGAGTAGATCTTAAACATTCTCACCACAAAAAGAAATGGTGATTATGTGAGACAATGGAGGTGTTAGCTAGTGCTTCAGTGGAAGTCATTCACAGTAGGGAAGTGAATTAAATCAACATGTTGTACATCTTAAATTTATACAGTGTTATAGCTCAAAAATTTTTTAAATAAAAATATGTGGCTTGAATATGTAAACATTATTAACTACAAACATTTTATGTGAATCATTAACTTTTTACACCTATTATACTATACAATAACTATTGATACGCACATTGTTAAATGTTCTATTTATACACTTCAGCAAATGTTCATCTGACCTTAAAATGTTTATTTGTTGTCATTGTCACAGTTATGATTCCACAATAAAATTTAGAAAGTAGAGAAAAAAATATGCTCAGAATCCCACCGCTAAACATAATCACTGGTAGCACTTTGATAATTTTTTTTTTTTTTTGCACTTTGATAATTTTAATCCAGTTCTTTACATGTATATAATTATATTATAAATATATTTTACCTCTGCTTTTTGAAAACTTATATCCCAAGCATTTTTGGAGTGCCCTTAAAGTAATAAGACTGATTTTAGAAGCCTTCCATGAAAAGTAGATGTTATAATATTGGTATGTTATGGTTAGATATATTTAGTCTTTTTTTTTTTTAAGTAGTTCTTTTTTTTTTTTTTAAGATTTTATTTATTTATTTGACAGAGAGAGACACAGCGAGAGAGGGAACACAAGCAGGGGGAGTGGGAGACAGAGAAGCAAGCTTCCCGCTGAGCAGGGAGCCCGATGCGGGGCTCGATCCCGGGACCATGACCTAAGCCAAAGGCAGACGCTTAACGACTGAGCCACCCAGGTGCCCCTAGATATATTTAGTCTTAAGAAACGTTACTTATGCAGAAAAGACCTCTGTTGCCATTTATAAAAATTAAGACTTTCTTAACTACTACTTTTGCTTACTGCTAAAGCTGTTAGCTAATTTTTTAAATCTTCTTTTTCAGAAACTGATGTTTTTCTTCTCTGGCCGAATTTCTTTTATTTGTAGGGTCATGTGAAGAGGGAGCAACTCTAGAAAATGTGGGGTGGGTGATTGTGGATTAAATGTGAACAAAAGAGCATCTGGGGCGCCTGTGTGGCTCAGTTGGTTAAGCTTCCAACTCTTGATTTTACTCGGGTCATGATCTCAGAGTTGTGAGATCAAGCCTGGCCCTGGCTCCTGCTCTGCATTGGGCATGGAGCCTACTTAAGATTCTCTTTCCCTCTCCCTCTACCCCTCCCCGCCCTCTCCCTCTCAGGGGGAAAAAAAAGGTGCATCTGGCCCCACTTTTAATCTACTCTTCAGCTTGGCTTCATGTTGTTCATTACAACTAAAACTTCAAGCTCTTGTCCAGAAGTTATGAGCTTTGAAAATATAATTATAGTATATGTGGTCCTAGCATTAGCAGCAGAACTAGAAATGAGATCCAAAGTGATTGGCACTTAACTTGGGAGTCAAATGTTATTAAAATGGAAAAGAAATCTTGAATTCTTTATCCATAGCCAACACCTCTAAAAAATAGTCCCCACTCCCCTTTTATAAAGCAGATAGGCTTAAAGAGTTAAGTAGGGTTTTTTGGTTTTTGTCTTTTGTCTTTTTTTGGTGTTTCCGCAGTATATTACCTACATAATATGAAAAAATGTATAATTTTTAAATATTTCTGATTGATGTCAAAGCCATTGAGGCTGTCTTTTTTTTTTTTAATTTATTTGAGAGAGAGAGAGAAAGAGAGAAAACGTGTGCACGCAAGCAGGGGGAGGGTCAGAGGGAGAGAGGGAATCCCAAGCCAACTCCCCGCTGCATTTGGAGCCCAGTGTGAGGCTTGATCCCACAACCCATGAGGTCATGACCTGAGCTGAAACCAAGAGTTGGAAGCCCAACCAACTGAGCCACTCAGGTGCCCCAAGGCTATCTTGTTTTTAAAATAAATTTTTTTGCTGGGGCGCCTGGGTGGCTCAGTCTGTTAAGCATCCGACTCTTGGTTTTGGCTCAGGTCATGATCTCAGGGTCATGAGATGGAGCCCCCCGTTGGGCTCCTTCTCAGTGCAGAGTCTGCCTGAGATTCTCTCCCTCTCCCTTTGCCCCTCCCCCTGCTCACTCACTTTCTCCCACCTCAAATAAATAGATAAATCTTTAAAAAAATTTTTATTGCCCATGCGTTATAAAAGGCAATTAAATGTGGTACTAATTATATAATTTAACTGCCTGAGAGTTTGAGTAAAGAAATTGAGAAGTGTATATAAATTTTAAAAATCCCATAACTTCTTGATAAGAAGTATTAGAATGAGTAAACTTTATTCCTTTGATTCTTACCTTGTATGGATAGAGCAACTTGCTGAACTTCGTCAGGAGTTTCTTCGACAAGAAGACCAGCTTCAGGACTATAGGAAGAACACTACTTACCTTGTGAAGAGGTTAGAATATGAGAGGTGAGATGCTATATGCAACAAATAGCTATGAATCTGGGATATCTGTCCAACTTTTGGACCATTTATTTCTTCCTTTCTGGTTTCTGTTTTTCTTTTCTTCTTTCATTTCCTTAGGTCTTTTAAATTCCTTTTCTGTTGTCTTTCTATGCCTCTTTGAGATCCACACTCTTTTATTGTGATATGTTAAACGCCATGAAAATATCTTTTACAAGGTATGTGTAGTTTGCCCATGTAGAAGAGTTTGTTGTGAGCCAGAAAATCGTTCAAGGCCTGAGTTTCATTGCATTAGATGTGCAAAGACTAACAGGAGAATCTGTGGTTCTCTATAAGGGGCATCCAGAAGACGAAGCCAACACTGGGAGGTGTTCCCAGAACAGCTGAGGGACTGAGTGCGAGCTGCTGCTTCTGCTCTGCATTTCAGTCCTCTTGCGTACACCTCTACACTCAGTTGGTGAGGAGGTCGGGGAACCTCTTTCTGGCAATCACTCTTTTAAAACCTTTCTTATGTCTTTAATTAGTTTTATAATCAAAGGTTTTTTTTTAGGTCTACATACCCAAAATTAGAAAGATGAACCATATTTTAAAGCACCATGTATCCATTTCTGGCTTCTTACTCTTGTAGGTTATCAATATGTATGTGTTTTAACCTAATAATATTCAATAATTTTCAATATATCTATAGAATTAGAGAGTTAATGTAGTCAAAGGTAATATATTATTCCAGCATGTTAATGTACTAAAGTTTTTTTAATCTCTCCCAGTTGCTGGACTGTAGTAGGAGTTTTCCTTATCTTACTATTATGAATACCAGCTATAAAAACCTTTATGCAAAAAGGATTTCTCCCTCTTATGTTATTTCACTGGTGTATATTCTCAAATGTAGTATTCCTGAGACAGAATGTTTTGTTGGTTTTGTTGCTTTTATCACATATATGAAAGATTGCTTTCTGAAATGGTTGTACTAATTTATAATGTAAATATTTTCCCGTACCTCTACCAACATTGGCCTTTATAACTCGGACTTAATTTTGGTAGTATAGGAATAAAGTACTACCATATATACATATAGGAAGTTTAATTGTACTTTTAATGGTGAAAGTTAACATTTTTCTGTATATTTTGTAACTTTCTTTTTGCATGAATGGTATTATTTGTATTCTGTGGCCACTTGTCCAGTGAAAATTCCCAATATTTATCTGTTCTGTTCCTTCACATTTTTTCTTGATGACTCCATTCTATCTTATTTATTGGTTTCTTCCATTCTTGTTATTCTTATGGTTTAGAACTCTTACTGTTGTGTTGAAAATGCTATCTATTGGATGAATCATCTGCTGCCACTCCTTATCAACTCTCATAATTCTAGGTTTTCTCATCTGTTACTATATATTGGTCTCATGGTTTTCTCTTCTATAATGTTTTTTCTCTTCTGTGTTTGAAGTTGGCTTTGATAATTGTTTCTTTATAAATGCAATTTATAAAAATAAGTTTTCATCTTTCTAATTTCTGTTATTTTAGTTAGTTTTATCAGTATTTTTTATCCTCTATTAAGGATTCAAATATTCTCAGAATTTTGACTGTGAGCTATTTTTATATCTGCTCTTTGTCCTTTTATGCCCACTCTCTTGCTAACTGAATGCTTTATCTTTATAAATATGTTTTCAACTTCTAGACAACTTTGAGAAGTCAATCCAAGATAATATAACCTAAAAGAATGACTTTGTAATTTAGTTTTCAGTGTGGACAACAGATCAAGGAGTTAAGAGCACAGCATGAAGAAAATATTAAAAAGTTAGCAGACCAGTTTTTGCAGGAACAAAAGGTAAATTTAAAAAATACTTAAATCAGAATATGTTCTTGTAATAAATCTTGTAATTTAGAAATTAAAATATGTACTTTTGTCATAAAACATTGTATTTTTAAATATTCTAGCTTGCCAATTTCTAAAAATGACTTGCAGTGTTTTTATTGCCGAGTAAATTAGATATCTGCAAAAATATAACCTCAACTCTTAAAACGAATTTTGAGTTAAATATTTTTGCTATTAATATATTTCTCAGACTGTAAAGTGGATACAACTCTATTGACAAATCAGTTACTTCTTATTTTATGCTTTTGAGAAATAGAAAAACCTTGAGACACCTTTTCCTTAAGTATCAATCTCTATTATTCTGAATTCCTTTCTTAAAACACAGAAATGAAACACTAGCCATTATTTTGATTCATATTTTCGGGGGTGGCAAATTCTTTTATTAATTTATCCATTTTCATTTGATATATATTATGAAGCCCCTGCTAGAAATGGAAGGAATTTGAAAATTACTGGTCACTAGGACATTCATTTTTTTGCACCTTGTAATCTTATCTGACTTAACCATGATTTGTAAAAAGTCTTGTGATTTAAAGAGAGATGGAACAGTGAAAAGTGGTAACATCTTACCTACAGGCCAAGAAGTTAAGGAAACCAGATTTTTGTTCTTAGCTATTTTAGAGCATGATATCGAGGGCAGTGTTCTTTCTCTCTTTCATTTTTTGAATCTACAAAGTAGACTAGCTGCTCCCATCTGCAGTCTACCTTGGAGAGATGTGAACGTAGATTGTTGGAAGATGACAGGTCTGAGTGAGCTACCATCGCAGCATAGAGGCATTGAAGGCATTCCTGAGACCCTGGGTGACTAGAGGAGCACAGTAGAACACAAAAGGAAGAGAGGGGTTTGCTATTGTAATTTCATTATTACAAGCGTAATAGATAAATAAGGGGATAAATTTACTCTCTTCTGTTCTCCCAAGAAGCACAGTTGAGAGAGCTTTTCCATTTTTTTCCACGCAAGTGTGTACTAGGCTATTTTTATATTATTAATTGACTAATGTCCTCTCCAGTTCTTCTTTACCCTTATTTTGCCTTAAATGGAACAAAGTGGGAGGAATGGAGAGGCTTAGAAAACTCCTTTCTAGGGTAGCACACCAGCCCTTACCTTTCAGGCCAGCTGCCTAATCCTACTCCCTATCCTTCATTCCTTGTTCTACTACCTTAATAAGTTGATTCTGTGAAATTTCAGTTGTTTTTTTTCATTGGAACAAATCTAATGGAAGCTATATGAAACAAGTATAAGTTGTATTCAGGGATTTTATTTTTTTTAACCAAGCACATGCCTATCTTAGAACTTACTCTGATGAAGGGGTCAGCAGACTAAATCCCACCTGCTGCCTGTTTCCATACTACCCATAAGCAAAATACGGTTATTACATTTAAAAATGGTTGAAAAAAACCAGAGAATATTTCATGACATTGGAAAATTATAAGAAACTCAGCGTCTGTAAATACCGTTTTATTGGAACACAGCCATACTCATTTGTTTTCTGCTTTCATGCTACAAAGGAGGAGAAATTGTTGTAGATCAGAGAAGACTAAAGAGCCTATGAGGGCTTAAATGAAATATAGTATCCTGGATTGGATCCTGGAACAGAAAAAGGGCATAATGGAAAAAGTAGTGAAATCTAAATAAAGTCTGGAGTTCAGTTAATAATGTACTAATGTTGGTTTCATAGTTTTGCAAATGGACCATGCTAATGTAACATGTTAACATTAAGGGAAATTGGGTGAGGAGTAATGACTTTTCTGTAAGTCTAAAATTATTTCAGAATAAAAAGTTTTATTTAAAAAATGTTCAGGTGGCCCCCTTACCACATCACTAACATTGCATTTAGAAAGCCATCTAATTTTATTAAGAATATTTGTTATTGTCCATTCACATAAAGGTACTATCTTTAATAATGCATCAAAGGGACAACATCTTTATTAACTATTTTAAATGGAAAAGTATTTTTGAACAGTAATTTGTTGACTTTAAGTTTTGCTTAATATTATTTGTTTTATCCACATCTACAAAGAGTACTATAGAAATAGCCTTATGATACAGCATTATAGTGAAATGCACAGATATGCAGGCTGCCTGTTCAGATTTTACCTCATAGATTTTCTTACCCTCGGCCCTCCTATTGACATGTTCAAAAATTTCAGTGTTATCATTTCACTAATTGAATATTAAGCTCAGAATTGGCTCCCACAAAATGTGGGAGTGAGGAAGACTGTGGTTTGAATCCTTTCTCCACAGTTCTCCAACTTGGTAACCTTGGATGAGCTACTAAACTTCTTTAAGCCTCAGTTTGACTTCATTATTCCCAAAACTGTTCACTTTACTAGAGGATAGATTTGAAAGCAGTTTGTAAACTGTGAAGCACAGTGCAAATTTTTATTGTTAATTTTATCTGCCAGGCATACTGGAATACCTGATTGTCAAAACACCTTTTCTTCTTTATTGTGACAAATTCTTACAATTTGACTTGGTTTTTCTAGATTTCCTTTAGATTTTTTAGTACTATTGTTTTTTATAAAATTACTAATGATTACATTGCATAATGCTTTAGAGTTGACAGAGCATTTATATATGCATTAAATTTTAAGTAGAAGGACCTATGTGGCAACACAAGTATGTGTATTTAACTCCTTGCTGCTCTCAATTTTCCACTGAGGCCACTCAACCAGTATAAAAGGCAAAACTGGCCCACCAATAGAATTGAGTCAGGCCTAACCAGTTATCCGAAGATTCAAGTTTCCAAGGAGATGATTGGGTTAGAAGCATGTTGGAAGGAATACTGATCTGTGTGTTGTTCTGCTGTTACTTCCTATGGTTGGGTGGCCAGTGCACCTAGGAAGAAGTTTGCCTATTTTCCACCCTTGCTGTTTCTGCTTCTGGAAAAGCTTGGCAATGTCACTAGCCATCTGTCACACTTGAGGGGGCACCCATGTGCCAGCTTCCTGTAGTCCACCATCCTGCTCGATTACAACATAGGCCTATAGAGAACCCACCCTGCCCATAGCACCTAGGATAATGCCCAACTGTAGGCCTCCATAGCAACCTCCAAGCAAGACTATCTTCTTGCAGCATCATTCCTTCAGCATAGCCAAAGAGAATTACCTCTGCCTAACATTTTAGACCATTTACCATAATCAGAGACTTTAAGAAGTGTTATTCTTTTATTTCATATTAGGTTTTAAAAAACGGAACAGAAAATAGTATTATATCCCACATCTCCAGGTGTTTGGAATTTGGACCCATGGTATATGTTTCAAAAAATGGACTGTTTCAGAACATTTAATTGGTAGTTGTGTCAATTATTTAATCTTTTGAACTGAAAAATATTTACTATTACCAAATCTTTATTTAACAGCAAAAGTCACACAAGTTTGAATCAAAAGATGGAAATGAATTGGGTGTAAACAATCATGCAGTACCTAAAAACATTCCCAGAGTAGCTGAGAATGCTGCAGATAAGAATGAAGAACCCTCAAGCAATCATATTCCACATGGGAAAGGTATTACTATTTTGTTTTGTGTTAATAGGATATTGACTTTTCTAACTCACTTTGAAGTGAACATTTTCAGTCATAAAGAATATTGCTTGATTTTAGTTCAGTTATGATTAGGTGTCAGTGTTGTTTCAAATTTGGATCTCTTGATAGAGAAGAAAAAAGAGTAAATTGTTTTAGAGTTACAGCTATGTCCAAAGCAAGATATAAAGATATGCAGTCAGTGTAGCCTATTGCTTTAGAAACTGATTATTACATTCCTTCAAAACACTTTCAATTCATATAAGGGAAAAAAAAGAGTTATTGGGGTGCCTGGGTGGCTCAGTCAGTTAAGCGGCCAACTCTGGATTTTGGCTCAAGGACATGAGATCAAGCTCTGTATTGGGCTCTGCCCTCAGCATGAAGTGTGCTTGAGATTCTCTCCCTCTTCTGTGCCCCTTCCTCTGATCTGTCTCTCTCTCTCTAAAAGAAATAAATCTTTAAAAAAAGAATTTTGTCTTTCGTTACTTGGGCAGAACAAATCAAACGAGGTGGTGATGCAGGAATGCCTGGAATAGAAGAGAATGACCTTGCAAAAGTTGAAGATCTTCCTACTGGTAAGTAGAAGTTATCAGAGTATTTACCCTACTCTCCTTTTGAGTAGAGGTCATAGTCACTTGAGAAAAGTCATAGATCTCTTGAAGATTTATATTTTCTGTTAATTAACTACCCATTAATTGCCAGGACTTGTTTAGGATACAGTCGTTTTGGAGAATTTTGCTAAAGCACTTGTTTCTGTGTTGATAAGAATCAACCATATTAGAACATTTTCTTGACTCAGAGTTACTGCTCATGACAGTTACACTATGTTAGAGTCATCTGTGTTTAGTAAAAGTACATATGGCTTATATCTTTGAGACAAAATATGTTCCCAGATTGCTGTGTTGTTGGTGTGCTTTAATATGGCATGGTAATACCCAAGTTCTATAGACTTGGCTTGTCTTTCAGTTAATTGCCCCACACTTTGAATAGTTTATACCCTATTTTTTTTTTCTTCTTTTATGGCTGTTGCTGTTCAGTGTCTGTTTCTTTCTTCATTAATGTGTCTGCTTCTTATACATTTCCACTTGAAGTCACTACTGGTATTCTAGTCCTGTTCAGTGTTTTTTTTTTCCTTGTTTGTTTCTTTTGTTTTCCCCTTGTCTCTTTTGCTTGCCATTTCTATGTTTCTTAGTTGTCATAGGTACTCCTCCGTGCTGACTCCAATTTATTGTGGTGAAAAACTGGAAGTAACAGCATGTCTTTGATTCTTCTTGGCTATTTTTATTCCTTTTCAATCTGAGGGATCACTTCCGTGGTTATAGGTCATTGTATGTGGCTGAAATTGCTGAGTGTCTGAGGTCCAAATGAATGAATATTAATCCTTTCATTTCTATAGTTTTGTTATCTTCTCACATTCTTTTATGTCTGTTCTTTGGGGTTTCCAATTCACCACATTATATGCCCCTAAAATAAAGGTAAGGACAAGAGCAATAACAGGAATTTTAAAATGCAGAGTTAGAATGAGCATGATTTGCTTGTGAAGTAATGAAGTTATCCAGTGATTCTTTTTTTTTTTTTTAAGATTTTATTTATTTATTTGACACAGAGAGAGACAGTGAGAGAGGGAATACAAGCAGGGGGAG